TATAGGAAGCGACCTTGGAAATGCTTGAAATGGGTATTACACTGAGTTCCATAGGAAGCAACAATGGGGAGGCTTGAAATGGGTATTACCCTTAGTCCCATAGGAAGTGACGATTTTTAAGTTTGAGGAGTCCCTTAGAATCCAAAATCCATTCGTATGTCAAAGTATGGTACAAGGATCCGTGACCCGTGCCGAAAGTCCTAGACATAGGAGAGGTCGGAGAAAGACGCCTTGGTATGGTTTCTGAGCTAGTTATTATTTGAGTTAATAAACTCAAGAGACATGTTTCCACACATTGAGAGTTTTGTTAACTCAAGCCTTACACTTTTTCCCATGGACTTTAGTTAGGATTTGATTAGAACCCTGTAGAGCCGAGTGAACCCATAAGATAGGGGAACTCACTGATATTATTATCTCACCCCATTGTTGTTGTTATTTTTCAGGTATCGTTTGCAGGTTTGGTTTACAAGAAGGCTTTGCATGGATGTTTCAAGGGAAGCTTAGATCATAATTTTTTCGCTGTGTATTTTGTGCAATGACGAATATTGTACTTAGATCTTAGATTTTATTGTTTTGACACTTTCCATATTTTGTACCATAGGTTACTTTTATTGTTTTAGAAATGGTCAAGTATGTAAGTGTTGCCAATAGGCACTTATGATTGTGTTAGTACCACATAATAACACTTGTATGATATTATTCTAGATATATATTATATGCGTTGTTATAGTTTTCAATCACATGAACATAACTAAAAACTTTGTTAGCTCAATCCTAGATAGATCTAGTTACAATGAAATTATAACTCATAATTAAATACTTATTAACATACTAGAAATGTATTACTTCAAATATCTCCAGGTTATTTAGATTATGATGTCAATCATACATTCGAAAGACTATGAAACATATTGAATTCGTTGGAAAAGAATTTTTTAAAAAAATACAACACCCTTCAGATCATTTGACCCATATTCTCAACTTTTGAAGTCACTTAGATTTGATCAAAGACCTGCTCTAATACCAATTGTTGGACGAGAATATAGGGATGAAACGGTCTAGAAAGGGGGATGGGGTTTGAATTGACTAGTCCCCTTATACTATTCTAAAAAACTATTTCTTTTACAAAATTAACGTTTAAAGCACAAAAGAAAAGCATGATAAGTAGAATCAAAATACAATGGATGGATTCAAGAAATATATGTTTCATCGTCTTCATAATAAGGATGATTCAATTGATATTAGAAACAATGAAGGTAAACGAAGTTGCATTGAAAAGTAGTTAAATCCAAAACAAAGAGTGAAACATAATCTCAATCATGTTATAGAATGTTCAATGGATTAGATGCATCACGAACCTAAACTTATATGATAAAACACCATAAGAAAGATCTAAATCCATATGATATTCTAAAGATGAACAAAATCTAACATACATGATATTATGTAGAAAATTAAAAGAGATAGAGAAAGAGAAATATACACCAAATATGTAATGGTTCATCAATTTGTCTTCTCTATGCCTATTCCCCTCTTTAATGGTTTTCACCATTGGAAATGGTAATGTATTCCATTATTTTAAAGTTAAATATACAATTATTTTAGTACAATAGATTATCATGAACCTGAACACTAACATTCCAATGCTTTAGCCAATATAAATCTAAAATGGTATTCCCTTATACTGATGCAGATTACTCAACTTCTAATACTTAAGTTCTTCAATGATCTTGATCCAACAAACTTGATAGACACAATAATCCTGCCTCAAGCTTCAATTCTGCATCACCTTTTACTTGGATCTGGCAAAGACGTGTCTGAGTGATTGTTCTAACCAAGAGTGATTGGATAACTCCCAACTTTGTTCAACGGAAACCTTTACTCAGTTACACCAAAGTCTTCTTTGGAGTACAGAGAAACTATTATCTTGCTTGATAAGCACCATCAAAATACTCTGGACAAGAAACAATCATTTCTTCTTATACACACAACAAACTTCATGTAAAAAACATTAGCTTCCCAAATGTACCTTGTATCTACCTCTCAAACTCAATCTTTTGAGTTGAGCACCACAACAATGATTTCTTAGTATTAGGTTGAAGATGATGATAAATATCTAAAGAATCTCACACAAACAACTACAAACTCTCACAATATCAACATTATAGAAAGTTTTTCCCAAGGTTGAATTAGGAGATAATGTGTTTGTGACTGAAGAAACTTTCCTGGCTTCTCTTAAGTTTCTTGACAAAAACAGTATTTGGTTCTTGGTGAATATCTTGGGTTAATCAATCTAATTGAATTGACAAACTCTCTTCATAAATCATTTAATTGACTAACTAACCAACCAACTTTTACAAAGAGACAGAAAATGGTCTAAATAGGTGCTAGAGATTAGGCACAAAAAGCTGAAGAAAAACACAAGATGATTAAAGTCAAATCATGAAGTTATTATTTGAATTAAAGAAAGAATGATTTAAATCAAATGTAGTAAAGTGAAGAATTTGTTATTTTGATTTGAATCATATTATGTGTCTGTGATTTGAGTCACACGAAAGCATGATTCGAATCACAATTGATTTTGAAGAACATTTTGATTTCCATGATTCAAATCAAATACGTTGTGATTCGACTCAAGAAGTACTGTGATTCGAATCACACACTATCTTGATTCAAATCAGGTTGGAAAAATCAAATTCTAAACTTTCAAGCAAATGTATAATTTGAATCAAGCTTTACAAAAATTTGATTTAAATATTCTAATTTGTGATTCAAGCTACACTCAAAATTTTGAGTTACATCAAATTGCAAAGGCTAAAAAAACACATTATCGTGAGTCTAAATCTAATACATTAAATGTAGGGGTATCTCAAGATACATGTCTAAAAAAATAAATGAAATGATCAACTTACAAACAAATTATAAACAAATTATAAATACACAATAAACCAAATTACACAAAAAAAATCAAATATAGACAAAACTTCAGAATAAAATGATACCAATTGCAATGCAATTTTAGATGTTTGGACAATTTGAAATATTATTGATTCAATTTGATTTGAGTAGATGATTTGAAAGTTGTAAATTGTATTCCAATTCAATTTGATTCCGAATTTATTAGTCAGTACAGAACAAATGATACAATACTTGAAACTTGATTGTTTCTTGAGTTGCTAAGCTTCTTACATTAAACATTCAATGCGTGTAAATATAACACTAATATCTCACCACCTTCCCCCTTTGAAAAATGTAAAAAAGAGAAGAGAAAATACATATACAACACACATATGAATTCATGAGAACATATAAAACCGATACGAAATGCCATGCACAACAAGCTATTTTAAAACCAGAAAATCACATACAAGCGCGCGCGCACACACACACACACACACTCTCTCTCTCTCACGCGCACACACACACGCACACACACACATACGAGTAATATAATTTCAGATAGTTCATAAGATAAGAAGAGATATCAGGCTAAATATGACATAAAACAAACAATCAACATCAAAATAATCAAAATGGCTAAAACCATGCCATACATGTAATTAATCAAAAGACTTAATCAATTGCAATATCCAAAATAACATAAAATGATATCCAATAAATATAAATAAACTGTATCAAAATGATGCAAATGATGAAATGAAATGCATGCTAAACTATGAGAGGTTGGTTGGACAAGGATAAAGGGAAACATCTAAATCAAAATCAAAGCTCAAACTCTTTTGAGTGGTGGAAGCTTCCTTGATGTTTGCAAACTACACCATTATGTGATCCTCTCTTGCCCTAGCTTCAGCAACCTCTGTGTAAAGTCAAGCCATCAAGTGCTCCTCTCTGACTTGAGCTTTATGCATAATCTAATCCACACCCGCACATCAAAATAAACCTTCATTATAGGAGACATGACATCAGAAAAGGCAGGAGGTGGAACATACAAACCATCATGAAGTGTGATATTTCCCATGACATAACCTTTAGGAGCCTTCTCATTTAGTTCAAACTTGCCATCATAAACCCTTCCATGCATATCCAAGTAGTATTTGACACCATCATCATCATGTAGATATTTCATCAACTTGATCACATTATTGTCAACCACCTTTCAGAGTTTATAACAGGTTTGCATCATTCTAACGAATTTGGTGCAATTCTAAGATATACCGGATAAAAGAGATATAGAACAAATGACACTTTAACTTTGAATTGCAATTACCAATCTAATCCATCATAAATTTTACCTAATTGACTTCTTTTTGTGTCAGTGAAGTCACATGATAATAATTCATTTCATCAACTCTAGTCTAATTTTTTTTTTTAATTTCTTATACAAAATCTTCACAAGTATCTAAAATAATTTTATTATAATTAATATTTTTTATTTTAAAATATTTAAATAAAAAATATTATTCGCCATATAAATATAAATTAGGTAAACCAAATATTATGTAAATATTTGGTGTAAGTTTTTTCCTCAAAATACAATAATCAAACAGTAGAGATGTTATAAACTTTAATTCTTCTAAGTCACATAAAAATCAAATATTTGTATAACAGGATTACAAATCAGACAGACTAAGTACACAGAAGATTTGTGTTTTTTTCTTGCCGAGTTTCCCTACTCGTTACCTTTGAATTTTTGAATTTTTTCTTTTAGATTTTCCAACAACCTTATTAAACGCGGTTCAATTTTCCCTAATATAACCCTCTTGTCAACCCATTTCAAAATTCATCACTTTTCTACCTTCTTTCAACTTTTCCTCAATCTATCCCCCAATTCCTTCCTGGGTTTCAATCAATTTCGATTTTTCATTCCTCAGTTTCACCAATTTTGAAACCCTAATATTCCCAATTGAAAGTTTAATTTTCGTTTCCCGGAGTGTTAATTCGCTCATTCTTGGAAATTGGACTTTGAAAATCCATCTGGGTATTTTAAATTATTCAAAAAGTTTTCAATTTTGAAATAAAATTTCAATTGTTATGTGAGAATGCGTTCTGCAACAGAATATCTAGGTTCTTCTACTATGAATCAACGTGGCAATCAAGTTCAGTCTATGGAAAATTCCAGCTTAGAAAATGAGCTTAATTTATTTCAAAAACATGTTACTGATAGGTTCAATGAACTATCTTCTTCTGTTTCTAATGATGATTTGTTATCTCTTTCTTGGGTTAGGAATCTTCTAGATACATTCCTTTGTTGCCAAGAGGAATTCAGAATGATTCTTCATAACCGTAGATCGAAAGTGTGTAAACCACCTTTGGATCGTTTGGTGAATGAGTTTTATGAGAGGAGTGTGAAGGCATTGGATGTATGCAATGCTGTTAGAGATGGTGTCGAAATGGTTAGACAATGGGAGAAACTATTGGAGATTGTTCTTTGTGCTTTGGATCATAAAAGAATCATTAGTGAAGGCCAATTTCGTCGTGCCAAGAAAGCTCTTGTTGATTTGGCTATTGGTATGCTTGATGATAGTAGTAAAGATTCTAATAATGGTTTTTCATTTGCATCTAGAAATAGGTCATTTGGTAGAAACAATGTTCATCATCTTCGACGGGATTCATCTGCATTAGGTCATTTTCGATCACTTTCTTGGAGTGTATCGAGGAATTGGTCAGCTGCTAGACAATTACAAGCAATCGGGAGCAATCTTTGTTTTCCTAAGAATAATGATCTTGTTGCTACAAATGGTCTTGCTTTGACTATTTATACAATGAGTTCAATTTTGTTGTTTACAATGTGGGCACTTGTGGCTGCAATTCCTTGTCAAGATAGGGGGTTACATCTCAACTTTTCTATTCCACGGCAGCTATCTTGGGCTGCTCCGATGACATTGCTCCACGAGCGGATTTTGGAGGAGTCGAAGAAAAGGGAGAGGAAGAATTCATGTGGTCTTTTGAAGGAGATTCAGAAGATTGAGAAGTGTGCTAGGGTGATGAATGATATGGCTGATTCTTTGGAGTTTCCTTTGAGTGAGGAGAAAGAAGAGGAAGTAAGGGTTAAAGTGGACGATGTTGTGAATGTTTGTGAAAGTTTGAAAGATGGATTGGATCCTTTGGAAAGACAAGTTAGGGAAGTATTTCATAGAATTGTTCTTGGTAGAATGGAAGGGATTGATTTTCTTAGTTGATAGTAATAAAAACATCATCAAATAAATTGTGTGATTTTGTTGTTTCCTTAGAAATGTGAAAATTGTGGAGAACAACCGCAAAAGATGAGTTGGGTTTGTAAATGGGAAGTTTTTTGTTGTTGTTGTATCTATTGACTTGACATGCATAAAATTTATATAGCTTTGTTTTGCTTTTGAATTAGACCTATGTAGTCTTTGATGTTACACTCTTTTATCTTAGGCGTGAACCCCAATCACAAGATGAAAGATGTACAAAAGAATAATTGAGAGAGTGGGAGAATTATGGTGAAAATAATTGTTAATTTTTGATATTGAGAGATAAGAGTTTTTATTTAGAAAGTTTGTAACTAATTTTACAAATCCGGTAACTAATCTCACAAACTTACTAACTACTTGAATTACATTTTTTCAACACACTATCTTAATTCAATTCTTCCAAGTCTTCCAAACTTATGTGCTTCTTCAATCTCGTGAACACTTCAATTGTCACTCTTTTAGTTAAAAAATCGGTCATCTCAAACTCCTTCACTAAATCACCCTTGAATTCTCTAATATAACCTTCAAATTTGCTTGTAATCAGTAAACGATCGACGTATAAACATATGATGATCAATCCTTTGCTTGTATCCTTCTTCACATACACACTGTGTTCATATACACATTTATCAAATCCTATCTCCTTTAGAAATCTATCAATTCTCTTACTCCAAGCTCTTGGTGTTTGCTTCAGTCCATACAACGCCTTCCTCAATTTATAGAACTTGGATTACTTTTTTTTCCACAAAAAAATCAGGTGATTGTGCCACATACACCTCCTCTTCCAAAGAACCATTAAAAATGCAGATTTGACATCCATTTGGTATATGAACAAATTATTGTTATTTGCAATACCAACAACTTAGTCCAATGGTTTCAATCTTAGACACTGGTGCAAATACTTCTTAAAAGTTTATTTCTTTTCTTTGCAAAATTTCCTTTGCCATTAATCGAGCCTTATGCTTGATTATTTCACCCTTGAGATTTTCCTTCACTTTGTATACACATCTTACACCAAATGACTTTTTCCTTGAGGTAGATCAACTAGCTACCATGTCTTATTTTTTCAAAGGATTCTAACTCCTCATTTTTTGCGCATATCCACTTTGGTTCACTCATGGCCTCCTCTGTTTTTACCGGTTCAGATTTATCCATGAGCGCAAAATGAACAAGATCACCATTATTGCTCACTTCATTATTAGAGATTAGATCACAATTTGTCAATCTCGCCGACATGCCTCTTTGCCTTGTTGATCTTCTCAAATTTTCTTCAACTTGGACTTCACCGACTGTAACTTATGCGCTTTCAAACACTGCAGGAACAGTCCATGCACTATATTAATTAGCTACAACATGCTTCCAGTCCCTCAATTCATCATAAATCACGTCCACATTGATTACGGTTTTCTTGTTAACTGTGTCATTAGAGTTTGTAGCCACCAATTGAGTGATACCCAATAAATATCATTTTTTCTACCTTATCATCTAGCTTCTTTCTAAGATGATACAGAACATGTCTATATGCAACCGAATCAAATACCTTCAAGTGACTCATATTTGGCTTGAATTTGGACCATGATTCTTCCGGTGTAATCTTTTTTAGCTTCTTTGTTGGACACCTATTAAAAAAATATGCAGTTGTGGACACCGTTTGTCCCCGTAATTCTTTTGGCAAGTGTTTCCCTTTCAACATGCTTCTCACCATGTTCGTAATTGATCAATTCTTCCTCTTGATGACTCCATTTTTAAAGGCGTATAAGGTGGCAGTATGCCATGTAGAATGTCCTCATGATCACAAAATTTCCCAAAATCATTTGAGACATTTTTACCTCCACCATCTGTTTTTAGATTTTTTATTTTGCAATTACTTTGTCTTTATACCATGGATTTGAATTTCTTTCACACTTTAAGCATCTCTCATATTTTCTTTTGATCAATTAAGTCTATAGCTTTCTACTAAAATCATCAATGAAAGCGACAAAGTACATATTGCCTCCGATTGAGTAAACTTGAATTGGTCCATAAACATCTTAATAGACCACCTCAAGATGACAGTTGGTTTTTCATTCTGCATCTTCGCTAAAGTTGCCTCAATATTGATTGGCTTGCACACACTTTTCACACACTTCAGTTGACATATTGATCAACGACAATCCTGACCATGTTGTTTTATGCATAGCATTGAGATCTCTGAAGTTCAAATTTCCAAGTCTATAGTGTCAAATCTATTCTTCCCTATTAGTTTCAGTTGCAAGACACTATTCTCCTTTACTTTCAGTTCAACTTTAAAAGTTCTGTTTTGAGCCATAAAGGTCTTTAGGATCAAACTCCCATTTGCATTCATAACTTTTAACACTTTGCTTTCCATGTGAATCTTGTAATTTCTTTCAAATAATTGACTAATGCTTAAAACATTACACTTTATTCCAGGAATATGCAACACATATTTAATTAATGAATACTCACCGTTCTTCATCTTGATTAATACGTCACCAATCCCTTCTCCTACTAGTGTGTTGTCGTCCACGAATTTCACTTTTTTCTTCACGGGTTGATTGATTTTTATGAACCAATCCTTCCTTCGAGTCATGTGTGTTGAGCATCCGGAGTCAAGATATCATTAATCGCTATATTCTTTATCTTCTCGCATAGACACCATCATATTTTTTCAACTGATGGTAACCAGTTAGACTCTGCTGGTAACCCGTTTCAACTGTCTTTTATCGTGTTATTTTTTGCTTCACCAATCACCATCAAAAAATTTCTCTCATCATTTTCTTTCTTTACAAACTTTGCTTCAGCTTCTTGTGAATCACTTTTGTTGGCATTACAGTCACGAGCAAAATGTCGAAGCTTTAGGCAATTGTAGCATTGGACGTTGTTCCTATCATTTTCCTTCTTCCTCTTTTTCCTTTATAGTTACCACCTTTATAAATGTTTGATCCACGACCTCTATTGCATATGCTTTCACCCTTTTGGAATGTTAAATTTTTGGATTTTTTAAAGTCCCTTCCACCATTATTGCGATAGTTTCCTCAAACTTTACTCATGGATCACTTTCCTTTTGTCTTCTTGTCATTTCCCACGGAACAAGCCTACAAATCAATCTTAACCTTTTTCTTGTCAACATTCCTCTGTTAAGTCAAAATATTTTGATCATGTCAAAACCATTTTATTTTAGTTATTGGTGTTTTTAAAATCCTTGCTAGTTAAAGAATATGACTAATATTACTTTGGAAGCATTTGATTATTAGAAAAGAAATGGATGTTTCATGCCTAAGTACCAAAAAAGAAAGCAATGACAAAGTTGTAATTATCTTTGATGATCAAATTATAACTATTAAATTATACCAAATGTCATTTTCGTAAATACATAAAGCAGTTGAGGATCAAGAAACACAACATGAGTATCAGCCTCTCTCAATGGCAACTCTGTAAATAAATGATCTTCTCATTTACTCTATCAATGAAAAAATGACAGACATGTAATTCAAGTATATACTCAAGCCAGATCTGATACTCAAAAACTAAGAGGATGAAAATCTATATAAATAGCTTTTAATTTTCTCTTATTTCTGATTCATTTGAATAAAGGAAAATTCAAGAGAAACACTCATCATTTTATTACCAAAATTTCACTTTTGCTAAAATATAGTCTTAGAATCAAGCATTTGTATTTCTAAGATCATTTGTCTTAAAACCCCATCCTCTCAATACTCATTTGTTGAGGAATTGTGAAATTGATTCTTCTTACAATTTATTCTTAATACTTTGTATATCCTCAAGTCAAAGTTGATCTTAGGTGATAGTGTAAGCCAACTGAAGCTTTGTAATAAGTATTTATAAGTCTGGTGCGACTAAGAAAATGCATTGTGGTGCAAAAGATTAAAGAAAGCTATTAAGCATATATTGGAAAATCTCACAAGAAATGATAAGGGTTGGAGTAGCCAAGTTTTGTGAACCAAGATAAATCTCTATGTGATTCCTCTGTGAACTCTTCTTTTTAAATTTATCTAGTCATACTCAAATCACATGCATACAATAATGTTTACATTATAAAGTTAATCCACTTTTATATATCATCCAATAAATTTGGTTATAAAAAAAGGGATCACTATTCAACCCCCCCCCCCCCCCCCCCCCTCTTTCTAGTAATATTTATATTTACTTCAATTGGTATCAAAGTCTGGTTCTAAGAAAGACACCTAACAAGTGTAAGAGAAAAAAAAATCCAAGGAAAATGCCATAAAAAACAAAGTTCATACATGAAGGAGGATCATCACATAGACCACCATACTTTGATGGATTAGACTACTATTACTGGAAAGGTAAAATGAGGTTGTTTTTGTTATCACAAGACAAACATATGTGGTCAATTGCGGAAAGTGGAAACTTGTACCAATGATAAATTCAACATAAGGAACAACCTCAAAACCAAATCCTCAAATTCAATGGGCTAAAGAAGAAAATGATAAGGTACTCTTAAACTCTAAAGCTCAATTATTCTTATCATGTGCATTAATTAGAGAAGAGTATGATAGAATAGAAGAATGTACAACTGCAAAATAAATTTGGAATGCTCTCAATTCACCATGAAAGAATAAGTCATGTCAAAGAAGAAAGAATAGACATGGGAATTTAAAAAGTTTGAAACCTTTGAAATGAAAGAATATGAGACAATAAATGAAATGTTTGCAAGACTTACTGTCATTACAAATAAACTTCGCTTCTTAGAAAAAAATACTCATCCCATGATAGAATCAGAAAAATACTAAGGAGTCTTCCAAAAATCTAGAGACCAATGGTGACTGCAATCACGTAATCAAAAAATCTTAAAGAATTATAGGTTGAAGAACTGATTGGATCCCTACGAGCACATGAAGTTCTGCTTGTTGAGGATAAACCACAAAGAGAAGGTAAAACGATTACACTCAAAATACCACAAAATCATGAAATAAAAATGA